GGCAAGCAGGGGCTACTCTTCATTGTGATGCGTGGGCTTCTCATTTCTAATTGTGGTGGCTTCTCTTGTTGCGGAGCACGGGCTCTAGGCACACGGGCTTCAGTAGTGGTGGCACGTGGGCTCAGTAGTTGTGGCTCGCAGGCTCCAGAGCACAGGCTCAGTAGTTGTAGCACACGGGCTTAGTTGCTCTGCAGCATGTGGGATCTTCCCAGACCAGGGCTCGAACCCGTGTCCCCTGCATTGGCAGGCGTATTCTTAACCACTGCACCACCAGGGAAACCCACGTATTTGTTTTTAAAAAAAACTGTGCACAAACACATAACTGAACTTAGACTATCGCAAAGTTAAATTCCTGATTTTTAATGCAAAAAAAATACAAACTTTGGGGGCTTCCCTGGTGGCGCAGTGGTTGAGAGTCCGCCTGCGGACGCAGGGGACACGGGTTTGTGCCCCGGTCCGGGAAGATCCCACATGCCGCGGAGTGGCTGGGCCCGTGAGCCATAGCCGCTGAGCCTGCGCGTCCGGAGCCTGGACTCCACAACGGGAGAGGCCATGACAGTGAGAGACCCGTGTAGCGCAAAAGAAAAAAAAAATACAAACTTTGGTAAAATGTCTCAGACAACATGTGACATATAGTGAGGGCTTGCCAAACTCTCGTGAAGGCATTATCTCTGCAAGTCCGATCAGACTGTTCAGGAAGCTGCGATCACAATTCCTACCATCCACAGTCCCTTCCGAGTGACCCCACCCACCACTGCAGATCCTGCTGAAAGGAGCCCACCCCTCCCTGGGGAGAGCTCGGGGGCCAGGAGCCCCTGGCGCCCAGGTCAGCACCTGGGGGACACGGTGGAAGGCGAGAGAGCTGTCACCCTGTCTCCAGGATGTGCGCTGGGAAACAGGAAGAGGATGAGGTGGGCAGAGCTGGGAAACAGAGAACATGCAGCAGACAGTGTGCAGAAGCAGTCAGTGGTTAAGAGCAACAGTGGAAGTGGACAGGGAAGGTCAAGACCAGGGTGGCAGCCGGATCCCGCCAGGGCCCAAGCCGCAGTTCCATCAGCCCCAAGGCCCAGCACTACCTTGGTCCCTGGACCCCGCTGGATTCCTTTTTTCCTTATTCCTGTGTGACCCTAAACCCCCGGACTTGAAGTCGGCCCGCTCCCTGCCGTCCTGGGGCCTGACTACAACAGCCAGGTGTCCATCAAAGACAGACACAAACGATAAAGGCAATTCCCACCATGTGCCCTGCAGCCTGCCACCAACAAGGCTCTGCTAGGCCAGAGGTTACACCAAATGACACACACCGTTTGGGTGGCAGGGTCGCCCTGAACAGAAATAATCCCCCAGACAGGAGCGCATCACCCCGTACTGAGCAGCTCACCCTGAGGGGAGGGATGACAAGGCCTGCTGCTGGACCCGTCAGGACGAGCACACGCCAACACTGAAGGGAAGACTCAAGACAAAGGGCGTCTGAAAGGTTCACTAACTCACTGGCCCTCAATCCTGCAACGTGACTGATCAGTACTTTTCAAGATTCTGACAAAGCTGTAGGACCCTTTCCCCAAGGAATCCTAGATGGAAAGAAGCAGCTGCTCTGTCCCCTCCCCAAGTCCCCCAGACGCATCCTCAGGGCCACAGTGCTTCTGCATCAGGAGTCTAAAACCACCTCGTCAGACGGCAGGTCTGCTGGGTCAGTACCAGGCCCTCTGTGAGTGAAACTCCCAGGAAGAGTGACTAGACCAGCGGGGCTGACACACCGACACTAGGCGCGGCTGCTGGCGAGGGCACCCAGCAGCCAGGCGCCCTGTCCACTTGCTGGAGGGCAGACAGCACGGCTGGAGGGGCCTCATTTGATGCGGCCCTTTGCAGCCAGGCCTTTCCAACCAAACAACCATGCCTCCCAGCCCTTGAATGTTTATTCTAACAATTTCCAAACTGAACCTTTTCTACACTATATTTCACTTTCCACGTCTTCCTAAACAGATTGTACAAGACAGAACAGTAACCCATCACAGTTGTGAGTCATCACAACTGGTGTCAGGCAGTAAACCCACGTGGCCTCACCCCATACTGTGAAGCTTTGGGTTCCCTCGCTGCACTGTTTTTACTTCCTCGTCACCCTTGCCATCAGTATAAGCATCTGAAGAAGGAAGAAGGAGGCACATACATATTCCTACTAAGGGATGGGCTGAGAGTAAACAGCCTTCCAGTGCAGAGGTTCTTAACTTGGTCTCTGTGAACCTGAATGAGAAAAAAAATCACATCTTTATTTGCAATAACATCTGGCTGAAAGTTAACACTCACTCAATTCCACCGGCAGACGTGAAATCCTGGAGAGCACCTGTGACTTCTTCACCAACAGAAACCGCAGGTATTTGCACAAAGCATTAGCATCATATACTGAAGAAGAAGATATTAGAGCCAGTGTTCAATCTGTTACTAAGTGAGCTACTAAAAAGCATGTAAAGAGATTTATCACCAGTTTGGTTCAGTATTTTGATAACTGTATTTCAGTGTAATAGGTTCTCTTCTTGATCCTCTCTTATTTTTTCTAAACCGTTTGTAGGAGGAGAGGAGGAGTCTGGAGACGAGCAGAGCGCAGGGAAAGGTCCCCTGGGGCGCATGATTTGCATCAGTCCAGAAGTTTCAAGGTTTTCTTCTAAACAGTTTCAATTAGTTTGAAACAAAAGCGAAAGTTAGAACCAGAATGTTACCTTTCACTAATCCTAAGTAATACTTTCCTAAAGTCACAAGACACTGATACGGAAATGTAAATGCAGGACACTGAGGACAGCTGTTTGCACCCAGTTCCGTTAGTGCTGACACTTAAATCCTCAGCACAGAACGTTAATCTTCCGAATCGTACTTCACCTACCATATTTCAATTCCCACTTGTAAATCTCTGAAGCAGGAAGAGTCCTTCCACTGCTGCCTTCCGAAAGCCCTGTGTCAGTCAATATCACACAGCCGTGCATCGCTGATTCAACCAAATACTGTAACTAAACGATCTACATACCACTCTCCACGCTCGGTATATTAAGAAAAAAAATGACGTAAGGCAGATCTGAGTCAGTGAGCCATCTTCCAAATGCATGTGCAACTAGACTTGAGAGTATCACCAGTAACTGACTGGCAAAATGCTTACATTTCGCTGCGATTCTTCCATACAATATTCAAAATACTTCATATAAAATTATGTATTATATAAATACATAAATCCCTTTTCAATATGTCAGGAAAAATCATACAAGTATACCCAACGAAAGCTGAGGGTTTCATTTACCATAAAGTAGAAAGCACTCCCTTCCTAAGGAAAAACCAGTAGTTTCGATTAAAAACTAAGTCTTGGGGGCTTCCTTGGTGGCGCAGTGGTTGAGAGTCCACCTGCCGATGCAGGGGACATGGGTTCGTGCCCCGGTCCGGGAAGATCCCACATGCCGCGGAGCGGCTGGGCCCGTGAGCCATGGCCGCTGAGCCTGCGCGTCCAGAGCCTGTGCTCCGCAACGGGAGAGGCCACAACAGTGGGAAGTCCGCGTACCGCAAGAAAACAAAAACAAAAAAACCTAAGTCTTGGGATCAAAATTAATTTTAACCCTCTTACGAATGGCAAATCTATCCTGGATGGTTGCAGGTGTGCGATCAAATTTACCAAATGCATATTCGCGCATGTATAGGTATCCCCCCCGCAAGGATCTGCCTTCTGCCCTTACTTGCGCCCCCAGTCCGCCCCGCCCCGCGCCGCCCCCGTCCGGGACTCCGACCCCAGCAGCACGCGCTGATACGCATTCTAGGAGTCAGACTTCAAGAAGGAGAACCTGGCTGGCCGAGCCTTGTAACCGCTAACAAAACGGCGTTTCAACAGCCCTGACGATGATATAAAGCAGACTAACGCTCCCTGCCTTTTCTGAAGTGACTCACGATCTCTTTCTAAAGGAATGTGGAATTCCAGCGAGTGGCCGGACCGTGCCTGACGCGCCCAGGCCTCTACTTCACATCGGCTGTTTATTACTCGCGACGCATTTGTCACTCATTCCAGACACCGGGCACCCGGCTCCCTCCCAGCCTCGGACTCGGCGACGGCCAACGCAGTGCCTCGGTGACCCCCCGAAGCACCCCCGCCGCCCCCGCGACGCCGGCCCCGCCCCCGCGCGCGCCCGCCCCAGGCCCCGCCCCCGCGCGCCTCCTCAGCCTGGGCCCCGCCCCCGCCGCGCGCCCCCGCGCCCCCCGCCCCGCCCGCGCAGGGGCGCGCGCCGCGCTCCGAGAGGGACGGTTAGGAGCGCGCGCCTCACCACGGGCCCCGCGCGGCGGCGGCGGCGGAGCCTTCCAGAAATTTCCGCGTCCCTAAGCCCACACCGAAAAACAAGCGGGGCGCGCCCCCGCGCCGGCCCGGCGGACAGCGCCCCTCCCCGCTGCCGCGGCTCCCCTCCCCCACCCGCGCCCCCTCCCCGCCCCCTGCCCCGGGCGGCGGGTCTGGCGCGGCCCTCCCGGGCGGCGGCAACCCGCGGAGACCCGGGCGGCGGCGGCGGCGGGGCGGTGGCCGCGGCGCCTGCAGGCCGGCGTGATTGATAGTGACGGGGCGGCGGAGCGGCGGCGGCGGCAGAGCGGTTGAGTGACAGCTTACCTGGGTGCCAATCTTCATCACACTGACAAGCGGCTGCAGCAATCGGGACCCGCAGTGCCGCGCCCGCGTCCAACCGTCACGCCGACGCTGGGCCACGCGACACAGCCTCGCTCAATGGGAGGAGGGCGACGCCGACGCGCGCCGCATCAATATTCACAGAGGGGGCGGGGCCTTCCGGGCCCGGGCCCCGCCCCGTCCCGGCGCCGCGGCGGCCGGGGGCGGGGCCTGGCGCCGGGGGCGGAGAGTGAGCCGGGGGCTGGCGGCTGCCGGCCCCACCCCCGCCTCGCTCCCCAGTCGGGCCCCGCCCACGACCGCTGCGCCGCGGCGCGAGGAGAGGCCCACCCCGCTGGCCGCGAGCCCCGCCTCACTACTACGCAGATGGAGGCGTGGCCTTATCTCGCCACGCCCCCTCCGCGCGCCCCTCCTCGGCCGGGGGAGGCGTGTGGTGGGGCTCGGGTGGGCGAGACCATTCGCGATGGTCCGGCGGGGAGGGCGGGCTGTACCATCCGCGGGAGGAGCCTCGGGTCCTCTTCGCGCGCCAGGGCGCCGCGGGGCCCGGCCACCCCGGGCTGCCCTCGGAGGCCGGGCCGCGCGGGCGTTTGGCGCCCAGGCCCCTACTCTGCGCAGCGCCCTCTTTGTGTACAGGCCCGCGGCAGCCCCCCGCTTTCTTCCCCGCGGATGCGCACGTGCGTCCCGAGCGCGGCGGCTGTGCCCAGAGACCCGCCTGACCCCGAGCGCCCTTAGCCCTGGTCCGGGCTCCAGCCACTGCAGCACGCTCGCCTCTGGTCTCGCGCTCTGCCCTCAGGCACCTGTCCCCCGGTGATCCACGCAAGGCCCAGTCTGTAGGTGAAGTGGCCTCCCTTAGAGCGACCCGGAAAGTGTGGTCGTATTTCAAGGTGGACTTTCAAAGGCGGTGCTGCCTTGCGTCCGCGGGCCCCGCCGGTGGCCGTGCGCTCCAAGACGTGAAGGGAAGGGCAGGCCTTCCCTAGTGCAGAGGCACGGGGCTTGGCTGACTGTCCATTTTTGCAGAAACCTTCCTCCTGTGTGGGATCGCTGTCTGGAGAAGGGCTCCCGCGCTGCTCCGGGAAGAAGCAGACCCAGGACGGGAACACGTGGCTGAAAGGTGCTGGGGTGGGTTCAGTTGTGAACAGCTCGTCAGGACATCCCTCCTCTAAGTCTTCAGGGTTCCAGCAACAGCAGGAAGCCACAGACAGTCTGTGTGGCCCTGCAGAACGGCTCTGTTTTCCAGAGAGTAGGTTGTAGCAGCGCTTGGGCTCAGGGGAGGCCAGTGAGCCACTGACCAGTGGAAAGTTGGAGGGAGGGGACCCCAGAATCTCAGTGATGCAGACCGGCTACCTATATGTGCAGGGCCCAGTGCAAAATGGAAATACAGGTCCCTTATTCAAAGGATATTAAGAATTTTAAGGCAGGGACAGCAGAGCATTATACGAAGCTCGGGCCCAACCGTCTGCACTGGTCACAGGCGCGGTGCAGCAGCCCTGGCCTCACTGGCTTCATCCTAGTGCTGGCCCAGGGCTGAAGCTTTCACCTGGTTCCCATCAAGTGTGTGAGGCAGCAGGGGTCTCGGACCAGGAAGACCTGGGGGTGTGCAGCCCCCTGATAGCCAGGTACAAGTCACCAGGCAGTTGAGGCCCAGGCCCTGCACGCCAGTCTGGCCTCTGCGCCTGGTCTCCTCTACCCGTGCCCCCCATGATCTGGCCGCTCTTTCTTTCTTTCTCTCTACAGGGCCATCTCCAGAAAAGAGGAAGAGCTGCAGGTGCCGTCGGTGATCCCCTCCAGGTTTGCGGCTCTGAGGCTCACACATTTGGGGGCCCTCTTTAGGAAAAATAATTTAAAATGAGGTAGAAGTGGGGTCACGGAGGGCAAGGCTTCCTTTGCTTCCATTTGCCTCCCTCCACAGCCTGCCCCCTAGTATTGGCACCAGGGTGGTTTACTAACAGAAAAGGAACGTTTGTGCACAAGCAGCTCTTCTGAGTACTTTCCAATTTCTTTTTTATAAAGATTTGCTACTATTTTCCCAAGGACCACGTCTAGGTGTGTGAAATGAAAAGCCTCATATAATTGTTTCTAGAACTGTCCAGATGACAGTAGGTGCTGTGAGGCCAGGAGGGGAGGGCACAGTAGGTGGGCACAGGCAGGGAGGTGGAGGAACGCTTTGAGGGACCCACAGGAAAGGCAGAAAGAACTCTGCCAAGGCGCCGGCCAGCCTGACAGCCCCTGTGCAGCGCTGTCTCAAGCTGGAGCGGGTTGGGGAGAATGTAGGAGAAAGGCGAGCCTTGGACCCTGCCTGGTGGAGCTTATGAGCCAGTGCACAAAGCCTGTGGCGGCCTGGATGGGGTGCAGGGAGCTGCACTGTGTGGGGGAGATTACGGGGTGAAGGCTGGAGGAGGTGACGGGGGCAGGCAGGGCTTGGGCCATCCTCAGAGGATGGCTGGGATCTGGGGCTTTGGTAAGAAAAACGAGTGAGAAAAACACCTAAAAATAAGGGCAAGTCTCTTGGCTTGTTATGGCGGCCAGTGTGGCTGATGTGTGTAAGCTGCTTCAGTTTGCATAGGTGAGCAGGAAGTCACCAGCGATGAGTAGGGGATGATCCTTTTAAAAATATGTCAGACCTTATCACTGCTGTGCTCAACCCCTCGAGTGTTACCCATCTCATTCAGAGCAAAAGCAAAGTCCATGCAGAGCCCCTGAGGGTCTCCCGGATCTCTCTCCCCTCTGCACTTCTGACCTCAGCTCCCACCATCCTTCCCCTCACCCACTGTGTTCCAGTCTGCCACCTTGCGGCTCCTTGCTCTCTGCAAGCATGATTCAGCCTCAGGGCCTTTGCACTGCCTATTCCCTGTGCTTGAAGCACTCTTCCCAAAGATATCTGCATGGCTTTCTCCCTCACTCCCTGAAATCTTTCTCAACATCACTTTCTCAGAAGAGGTTTAAAATTGCAAACTCCCAACCCATTCCCTGTCCTCACCCTGCTTCCTCCTCTGTGGTACTTGTGTAGATACATGTAACATATGATGTAACTGTATAACTATGTAGCTTGTTTGTTATGTCTATCATCCAACACTCCCACCCCCAACACACACACACATAAACACTAGAATCTACTCTCCAGGAGAACAAGAATTTTACTCTGTTTTGTTCACTGATGTATACCGAGCACCTGTACTAGTGCCTGGCAAGGAAATATTTGTTGAATGCATGAATGAGTGCTTCTGAGGCATGGTGTATTGGTTAGCTATTGCTTCATAACAAATTATCCCAAACTTAGTGTCTGAAAACAACATACATTATCTCAAATTTCTGTGGGTCAGGAATCTGGGCGTGTCTTGACTGGGTCCTCTGCCTCAGGGCCTGTCACGAGTGGCCATCAGGGCTGGGGTCTCATTTGAAGGCTTCACTGGGGAAGGATCCATTTCCAAGCGCACATCATTGTGGGCAGATGGACTGAGGCCCTCAGGTCCTTGCTGGCTCTTGGCTGGAGGCCCCTTCAGTTTCTTGCCACATGGACCTGTCCAGAGAGGAAAACAGTGGCTTGCTTTATCCAAGCCAGCAAGGAAGAGAGTCTGCTAGGCAGACAGAAGTCACACTGTTATGTAAGGTAATCCCAGAAGCATCTTCCCATCACCCTTGTCTAGTCTATCGGTTAGAAACAAGTCTCAGGTCCTGCCCGCACACAAGGGGAGGGGGTCACAGGAAGACACAAACACCAGGAAGAGAGGATCCCCCAGGACCATCTTAGGGCCCACCCAAGTGGTATTTCTTTTTCTGTGTAAAAGAGAGCACTGTGGTGTAGTCAGAAGAGCCCTGGGCTTGCAGTCCCCAGTGCTGGGGGTGGAGTCTGGCTTTGCCACTTGCCGTGTGAATGTGGGTGAGGGCACTTGACCTCCCTGAGATCCAGCTCCCTGCCTTCAGTGGGGACTTCGTACATCTCTCAGGGGATTCTGCAGAGGAGGCAATGAGCTGCGTGTGGAAGGCTCCCAGCACACAGTGGGTGCCCAGGGCCGAGACTGGAGGAACCACGGTTCTTCATGCCTGAGCCCCGTTTTTTTTAATTGTGTAACTTTTTATTATGAAACATTATCTATCTGCAAGGGAACAGATAGCATATACGTACATTTATATAATAATAAAAGGAATATAAATATAGTTATCAATCTTGGGAAATAGAACAATGCCATTACCTTTCAAACCCACTGTCCCCTTTCTTAAATGCTTTTCTTTTTCTCTAACCAGAAGTAAACATATCCTGACTTCTGTTTTTTGTTTTGTAATTCCTTTGCTCTTCCTTATAGTTTTACCATCTAGATTTGAAATCTCAAATAATATATATATTTTACTTTTCACTGTTTTAAAACAATATTTGAATTTTATTGAGTCTTGTTCTTTTAACCTAATCTTTGGTTTGAGACATCCATTTATGAGTCTGCACAGTACTGAGGTTCACTCGTTTTAAGGGCTGTCTACTATTCCATCTGTATAACCACTGTTTATCCAATCTACCCTTTTTTTTTTTTGACATCTTTATTGGCGTATAATTACTTTACAATGTTGTGTTAGTTTCTGCTGTATAACGAAGTGAATCAGCTATATGTATACATACGTCCTCATATCCCCTCCCTCTTGCATCTCCCTCCCACCCTCCCTATCCCACCCCACTAGGTGGTCACAAAGCACCGAGCTGATCTCCCTGTGCTATGCGGCTGCTTCCCACTAGCTTTCTATTTTACATTTGGTGGTGTATATATGCCCATGCCACTCTCTCACTTCTCCCAGCTTACCTCCCCGTGTCCTCAAGTCCATTCTCTACATCTGCATTTTTATTCCTGGCCTGCCCCTAGGTTCATCAGGACCTTTTTTTTTTTTTTAGATTCCATATGTATGTGTTGGCATACAGTATTTGTTTTTTTCTCTCTGACTTACTTCACTCTGTATGACAGACTCTAGGTCCATCCACCTCACTACAAATAACTCAATTTCATTTCTTTTTATGGCTGAGTAATATTCCGTTGTACACATGTGCCACATCTTTCTCCATTCATCTGTCGATGGACACTTACGTTGCTTCCATGTCCTGGCTATTGTAAATAGTGCTGCAATGAACATTGTGGTACATGACTCTTTTTGAATTATGGTTTTCTCGGGGTATATGCCCAGTAGTGGGATTGCTGGGTCATATGGTAGTTATGTTTTTAGTTTTTTAAGGAACCTCCATACTGGCTGTACAAATTTACATTCCCACCAGCAATGCAACAGGGTTCCCTTTTCTCTACACCCTCTCCAGCATTTTATCCAATCTACTCTTAATGAGGTTTAGACTGTTCTTTCTTTGCAAGGATTATAGACATGATATTAATATTCTTTTGCATGTCTCCTGGGGTACACGTGCAAGAACTTCTCAGGGGTGTGCATCTAATAAAGAATTGTTGGGGGCTTCCCTGGTGGCACAGTGGTTGAGAGTCCGCCTGCCGATGCGAGGGACGCGGGTTCGTGCCCCGGTCCGGGAGGATCCCACGTGCCGCGGAGCGGCTGGGCCCGTGAGCCGTGGCCGCTGAGCCTGCGCGTCCGGAGCCTGTGCTCCGCAACGGGAGAGGCCACAGCAGGGAGAGGCCCGCGTACCGCAAAAAAAAAAAAAAAAAAAGAATTGTTGGATCATAAGATATAATGAGTGGCTAAAGAAACTCCCAGATGAAGTTGCCATTGAATAACACGGGGAAGGCTCTGGCAGAGATGGTATTTGGGGGAAATGTGAAAGTTCAGTTTTGTGCATGGTGACTTTGAGGTATTTTCCAAATGACTTCTGAGAATAACAAGTGAGTGTTTTGTAAACAAATCTGGAGTTTGTGAGAGAGGTTATAGGTCGAGATACAAATTTGGGAGTTGTATCAATCAGGAAGATTTCAAGAGCGGTTTAATAAAAGTACTGTTTTAAAAAGATACTTAAGTATCCAGGGGACTAATTAACAGCAAACCACTGTGAACTCCTAGGCTGAAGGGAAAGGGAGAGGAATCAGTCACTAGAACGCCGAAGAAAGATGTGCGTTCCTATCTTTCTATCTATCTACTTTCTCTCTCTCTGTGTCTCTCTCTATTTCATGGCTCGTGGTTTTGTTTTTATTTATTTTATTTTTAAATTTTTAAAAAATTAACAATAATTTTATTTGTTTACTTTCACCTGTGTCAGCAATTTGGGTTTTTTGTTTGTTTGTTTTGGGGGGAGTCTTTTGCCACTGGTTATTGTATTTATTTATTGACTTTATACAGCAGGCTCTTATTAGTTATCTGTTTCATACATATTAGTTGTATATATGTCGATCCCAGTCTCTCAGTTCATCCCACCACCACCCCCCGGAGCCCCGGTTTTCTAAAGGGGAGAATTCCAACAATTAAGTCCCTACAAGATCAGGGTGGGAGACGCTGCCCCCAGCTGTGACGGCTCCTCCTCAAGGATCCCAGCACAGCGCAACAGGGACGTGGCAGCCACGGCCAATGTCAAAAGATAATGTTGACCAAAGAAGGAATCGTGACTCTCAGGCAGACGTGCAATCAGCAGGTGGCCAGCAGCTTCCTGAGCTTGTTAGCTGAGCGAGGGAACTGGTAAGACGCTCCAGCCAGTTCAAAGGAAAATGCAAAGGACACACACCTGTATAGGCAGGAATATTGGCGGGAACTTGCAAATTGTGCAAATCTGGCCTTGGGTGGGAGGATTTGGGGACCGTGGGGTGAGGGCTGTCCCTCCATCACAGAGTCCAGAGACAAAAATAATTTGCATCGTCACTCGT